TAAATGTTTTCGATTTTAACTTCCTAAAGTCTCCTTTCTCGGGTTTCCGAGTCACTCAGATAGGATATTGGCCAGTTCCATTCACCTTGGATAAAGCCTTGCAACTTGGAAAGTTTTTTATTTATTAAAAATATATCTATTTAAGAAAAATCTGACCGATTTCCGTAAAACGGTGGAAACCGGTGTGGATCCGCGCCTGGGCTAATTTAGACAAGACTTAGAAAACAACTTTATTTATCTCAGGCTTATGAATCGGAATATCTTTGAAAAGAGTAACTTACGAGTTCAAAGAAACAATACACTAAATCTGGAGTGCATTAAAAGACGTCCGTGATCAGTTTTTAGAAAACCTCAATTTCTCCATACATTTTCTGTAATTTTGATACTGTTGAATTACAGAAAATGAATGGGAAAATCCAGGTTTTCTAAAAACTTTTCACGGACTTCTTTGCACTCCAGATTTGGTGTATTGTTTCAGTATGAAAAACTAAGGTCGAATAATTTCCGTAGAACGGCTGTTCTGAAAAAAAAAAGATTTGTAAACTAAAGCTTGACTCCTAAGGATTCTCCTGAAAAAATTCCCGCTGCACCGCGAGAAAAACCTCTGGTACCCAGAATACCCGGCGGTTTTCTTTCCCTTCCGCTTTGCTCCCGGAATTTCTAGAATTTTCGGTTGAATGGTTCGCATTTCGGAAATTCAACAGTTTCCAGAATTTCTGGAAACTATTCAGGGAAATTTCTGAACCTTTGTAACTGCTGACATTTACGAAAGTTTTGGTTGAATGAAAGGTAAGGAGCTGGCCGGTATAAAGAGCGAAGAGCCCTGGGACGCTGGTCAGCAGTTTCATTAGTGATACGTGCGCGGAGGCCTTCAACCACAGGCAGCTCGCGCATGTCGATCTCTTTGCGGCTGCCTCCATAACCAGAGGTAAGCAACAATTTGTAAGAGAAGGTGACTGCGTGTAACCCTTGATTTTAGGACAAATAATGTCTTTATGGATCTCTAATATTTCGTTAGCTTTTTGGCTTTCAGATTGAGGCAAGATTGTAGTCGGATGGCCCCATCAAAATGCTTTATTTCAATGTCTTCATAATCATCACTCCACTTTGTTTTCGTCCTAGATTAGCCATGCCTACAGCAAAAATAGTGAAGCCTCAAGGCGAGCCTGATGAATTTGAACAGACAATTTCCCAGGTATTTTGTTAGCGTTTTTCATGTGCTGTCGTTGGATTTGACACTGCATCCATTTCCATGCTATCGCATGCTAGGCCGTTATACAGTTTTGTCGACGTTTGGTTGTTCACGTGGAAAAAAATTATTCAATTTCCTTTGGTTATTTTTCTTTGCTACAGGCTCTTTTGGAGCTTGAACTGAACTCCACGGATTTGAGGTCAAGCCTCCGAGAGTTGTACATATCAGGAGCGAAGGTATCGTTTAATAACTTGTCGTAGAATATTTATTTTAAATTACACGAAATGACTCGGTGGTTTTGCTTTGATCGCTCATGTTTTCGTTGAATTAACTCCTCTACTAAGGGCCATAGTCAAGGTATCTGGAGTACTCTAAAGTTTGTTTGTTGCGAACTTTTGATTATTCTTTTGTTCAATAGCTTAACTGGTTCAAATGATTGTTCTCCAACTTCAGCAATCACCAGCAATTTTAAAGGAGCATAAAATAAAGTGTGTGAACTTTCCAGTGAATTATTGAATATGTTCACTCGTAGACTGAAATCATGTCTGCTCATTTTGTATGAGGAAAAGTATGAAAGGACTGCATGAATTAACAAATACAGGGCTACCTAGAATTTTTATCATTTTAAATCTCAGTATACGGATACACTGTACATGGCTGCATTACCATTGCTTTCTTGTTTTGGAATGTTTTAAAAAGTGGGTGGCAGACGTTTCGTAGAAGATTTTTGTCAGGCTCTCTTTTCATTTCGCCTTGCCCGCCGGAATGTTATTTACAAAGCCAAACGAAAATTGAGCCTGATCTCAGGTTAGATCAAGGGGGAGGGGGTGGACAAAGGCACTCTGTGATGAAAAAAGTTGCCGCCCCAGTCTGACATTTTGTCATGATGAGTGGCCAATACTTGTTTCTGAGATGAGTTGTCCAAACCAAGGTCCAGGGTGTTGTCACAGATATGTGTTGACAATGTGATGTAAACATTCTAAATAAAAAGTTCAGAACATGAAGGATTTGTTTTCATTCTCCAGGCCAGTTTTTGGTAGGTGAATTATCAAAATTTCTGACCTATTGCTGGTTATTACTGCTGTTAATTGTTAAGTGGCTTGAACTCCATTACATTTTAGGAGATTGATGTGGCTGGCAAGAAGGCTATTGTCATATTTGTACCAGTACCCCAAATCAGGCCTTTTCAGAAGATCCAGGTATTTAAAAGTTAATCATACTACATATTTGTAACTTGCTCTTTTACAGTTCAACTATTGATGGCAAAAGCTATCTTCATTTGATGATAATTGCAAACAGGAACTAGAAATATAACGCATTCATAATCAGTTGCATTTTATGCCTTAGAAACAGCTGCATGTATGTGTTTGGATGTATGTATATACTAATGACGTGTCGTTTGTGGGAAAACCAGTTTTGGCATTGCAAAATGTCTGCTATTTTGTCAGGCTAACGAATAATGAAGTCTTTCTATTTCTGGACCTTCCATCTTTGTTGATAGAGGAAAGACTTCTGATATCATGCAATGTTGCAATACTTTGCACACAACTGATGTCAAAATTAATGAATCTTATCACATAATCCATAAGAAATCTATTAACTGACTGTCAAAAAAATTTTGATCTTGACAAAAGACACGGTAACAAACTTACAGTACTACATGTAATGTAGAGCATCTGAAATCTTAAACACTTATAGGAATGTAATGACTCTTGGTGTTCCATGTTAAACCCTCTCAACAGAAATAACATAGTCACTTGATACACCTTTCTTGTACCACATACTTGGAACGGGAAATTTGGCATAATTTCCATTATTTTTTTGCACCCTCTCAGAGGAGTTGCTCTGAACCATCAGATAGTTACTCTGGTTTGATGTTCATTTGGACATTTTTTATTCTTTTCCAATTTATATATTCAAATTGTAGAGTGTTGATTTCAATCCTATTTTTCTTTTTTTCTACCAGGAAGAGTAGTGACAAAAAAAATCTTTTTAACAATTAACTTTTTTCTTTTCCCTCAAAGACCCGTCTGGTTCGAGAGCTTGAGAAAAAGTTCAGTGGAAAACATGTGGTCATTGTTGCTCAGGTCAGTACATTAGACAAGGAAGATCATTCCATTTATGACACAACAAAAACATCTGAGTCCTGCAACCACCTTCTTAAGACTACTTTGATAGTCAACAAAGTTTGGGGCAAAAGACGCTGCCACCCCATTTTTATTTATTTATTTGTTTCAATTTTTGATGAAGACCAAGCTGCAATAATCCATTATCACTGCTAGAAATCATTTTGAACATCCTGAGGGAAGTAAACTTGTCATCTTTGATAGTGATATGCCAGAGATATAGCAAAACTATATTTTCCAAACCTGTCATAAAAATGTCTGATAAATTTTTCAGCCTTAAAAGGCAGGTAAGGTAATTTCTTTAATAGTTTTCAACCTTTCACTCTTAAGCTTATCATAGTTAGTGATTTTAAGGTGTTTTTTTCCAGTGGTGTTGATGGATTTTCCGCTAACTGGTCCAAGTCAAAAGTTTGAAGAAATGTGGAAGAATCCATTAGTGACAAACGAGGCCATTTTTGTAGGGTCCAGTATGTTATGCTTCTTGTATACTGAACTACTAAAATACCTTTTTTTTCAGTTAAAAGGCACAATCGGTTATAAGACACACCCCAAACTTTTCAAGGCAATTTTTCTAAGTTCACAAATTGGAAATTAAGCCAAAATACCCAGCTACAAGGCACAGCTGGAATTTTTGACAATGTTCACCTTGCTTTCGAACAATGCTGGTTACGGCCATTCACCTATGTGAATAAATGAGAAAAATTCACACCTATCAACACAGAAAGCATTGTTTTCTAAAGTTGTGAATACTAGGGAATCCATTTTGTTACATAAACAAGTCAGCTGTCTTGGTTGTGGCGTATTGACATTGGTACATGCATCGGTAGTATCAAGATGTAATACATGAGCCTGAATATTTTTGTTAATTAAGTGCCAAATCTGGTAAAATTAAGCCCTTGTTTATCAAAATAACTGTGATAAAAGATCTCTCACAGTTCTATTAACAGATTTGGGAGCTTTCTTCGGAAAATAAAGGTTTGGAACAAGCACAAGATCGCAGTGTGTAGAAATGACTGTAAACAAACCGCCATCTTGGGTCAAGCACATGCTCAAAAAGTTGCCTGGCTACCAACCATCAAATCAGTTCAAAACGATCGATGCCAGATGATTTGATTTCAATGCAAAATGATTTGTTCATCGTTTAATACCAGCTTTAGAAGATTTACAACTGTAGAAGTCAGTGAAAAGCGATAGCAAAGAAGAGGATCAGCAGCTAGAGCTTTTAGAGTCAAAAATTTGACTCAATATCAGGGTGCAAAGAAAATCATTTTTACAGCTTGCCATTCGAGCAAGCTGAAGCTAGCATTTACTAGCCCAGACGTCATTTCAACTAGCCCCAAAAACTTTTTGACTAGCAGTATTGATGTCACAGTTCTTCTGCTATATGAATTCCTTAAAAAAACATTACTTGCCCATCGGGCAAGTTAAAAACAGAATTCACTAGCCCGATAGCTAAGTCCACTAGCCCCGGGCTATTGGACAGTGCTTTCTTTGCACGCTGCACTTTTGTCTTGTTGCCCGAAGATACTTGGTTATAAGATGCGTCCAGAAATTACAACAGATTAAGAGCTATCAAGCAAACTTTCTTTGAAAAAATGCTGTGCCTTGTAAGTCACACATTACATTGATTCTCTTTCTGTTCGTTGAATAGCAACGTTTGGCAGTAGGGGAAACCCGGTTTTCCCCATTAGGACACTCAGTGATGAAAAAATGATGCCGCTCCAGTCTGACATTATTGTCATGATGAGTTACTAACCATTTCTGATGAGTTGTTCAAAGAAAATGTTTGTAAACTTGTTTAATACAAGTTTTGTTAGTAATATCATAGCTTTCCTTTATAGAGAAGAATACTCCCAAGACAAACAAGGAAATCAAGGAATCAAAAGCAAAAAAGACCAAGAAGGTAGTAATGTAGGATAATTTTGAATGTAGAGCATATATACTGTTCTTGGGACCCTGCTTTAAATCTAACCAAAGTTTGAGCCAGATTCTTGTTTCATACATATAGGATATTACATGGCCATGTGGCGATACAAAATTTCTCTCTGAGTGTTGAAAAATATTTCACGAGTGAGCGTAGCAAATGAGTGAAATATTTTCAACAGGAGAAGAGAAATTTTGTATCTCCAAGTGACCATAGATGCCTTATTGTTTATTTCAAATTAAAGGTTTGAAATTGACTACAAAAGCTTACAGTCAGTTGTACGTATCGATTGAAACAAGGCTGAGTTATTTCAAGACCAGGAAATACTTAGATGATTAATTAGATGAAAAATCCACCTACCCCAGACATTTGGAAGCATATAGTTTTTTAATTTTTTTTTTTTTCTGTTAGGCTATCCAATGTCCTAGGTTTGTTTCCCAATCCCTTGGCTTTTAGTTCCTTTTGTTTCATGTGAGAGTAGCCATTGTAGTTTTAAACACAGTGTCAGTAAAAATTGTGAAGCCGTAGTTATTTTTGTTCAGATATCTCTGGATGCTTGAAAGAAGACCGCTCAATTTTGTTTAGTTGGAGCCATCTTTTTTTCTACGCCAAAGATGAATTCCGAAAAGTGGTCTTTCAGAACTTGTGGTGAAAGCTCATGATGAGATGTTGAATCAAGCAAGCCAGGGTTTGATGTCTGGATGAAATTCTTGAATAACTCGACATCATACGCAGTTTTCCTCTTTGTATTTGTATTTTCTTGTTCTTTTACGAATTTGATTAGTTCCTCAGCTGTGCTCTTGACAAACCTGCTTCAGCTTGTCTTCATTTTATAATAAACTTAAAACTTAACTTCGACTGGCAAATAGACCAACGCAAAAACTCCAGAAAGACCAAATGACAGAAAACCACAAGTGCTCGACAGCGCGTTAAAATACTCTGAGCTGATCGGTCAAAAATAGAAATGACATCACTACTGGCAGGATAGCGCATTTATTGGTTTGCTACCAGTCAGTATATCACTAACTCGTATATAATAAAAGGGTTTTTGAACAGAGGGCCTAACAAAGAAGACAATCGTACTGAGCATAACGTTGAAACCTGGTTCAACTGCTGCACTGCTCCATGACTGCTCGCACAAAAGATTATTTTTATGGCTTTTGTTGGACACAGTGAAACACCCTGCAAACCAAGAACTGAACAGTCTCTTTAAAACTGGCTTTGCTGGATGCACTGATTTACAATCCTTTGTTGATTTCCAGTCGTACTTTGACTTCTGTCCATGATGCAATTCTTGAGGACTTGGTCTTCCCAAGTGAAATAGTGGGCAAAAGGACAAGAGTTAAAATGGACGGATCAAGGTTAATCAAAGTGTAAGTAAAACATACATTAAACAGAGGTGTAAAGTTTGATGTATTTGTGATGATGTCACAGTTACAGATAGCCTGCTAGCAATCTGTCTGGGGTGCTCTGGCGGCAAGGCAAAAAGCTTTTTTGCCCCGCTGGGAGAGTTCCCAAAGAGCTGGCTCACAGGCTACAATACAGGAGGAATTTTAATCAAGGTTTGAAGCATTTTCCTTTGGAAGCATAAGGTTGACATTTAGCACTGACTAGGAAAGAATGTCTGATACAGTGCTTGACTGCAAGCCCTAATAATTTTATATCAAGTCAAAGCTCTTTATAGTTTTATTTAATTTTTAATTATAGTAAATTGTAAGAGCGCCTTCTGTATTGACTAGCATTTATTTCTTCTCTGCTCCAGTCACCTTGACAAGCTTCAGCAAACTAATGTAGATCACAAGGTAAGACCAGTGTCATTCATTCTGTTACTGGTTTCCATCCTATTTATTTACTATTAATTAAATTCTTTGAATCTTGTATTATAAAAAGTTCTTGGGTGTCACTGGTTCTTGCTGTTGTTATACGTGTATGATCATTCATTCATTCGCAAGAATTTCTTTTATTTGCATGTAGTAGTGGTCAAATATCTTGCTGTACAATTTGTCTTCTGTTTGAATAGTAGCACACTTGCATATTGTTTCAAAGACTTAACAAATCAATCACCTCCCTGTACAGCAAATTACAAAATACTGATCGTCCTACCCCAAGAGCTCAGACAACATTGCGATTTTGTTTGTTATATCTATTATAAGTTACTGAACTGAAATTCTTTCTTGTTGTAGTTGGACACATTCTCCACTGTGTACAAGAAGCTCACAGGCAAGGACGTGGTGTTCGAGTTCCCAAGTTATGACTGAAATCCTTGTTAAAAGTTTAATTAAAGTCATATCTGATATGCTTTAAATTGTTTTTTCTTGTCTGAGTTGTGTGTGCGTATAACCCCCCCTCCCCTCCCCCCACCCAATAACTAAACAGTCCGGCGATAAAGAAAAGTGCGTCGAGATAAGAGCAGCATTGCAAGAGTTACCGTTAAGTGGTGTAGGCTTACAGTGCTAGCATCATAAAGTGTTCATTACTTCTTTGGCCACAACAACACCTGTGGTTTGAATATTTCAGCATTACATGTTCAATATGGAATCCAGGCATTTGCAACATTTAAGCGTCCATAATGCATTAGATTGCATCTCAGAGAACTTCAATCTCAAAAATTTTCCTGGAGAAGCATGCCCCGGAACTCCCTAGAAAAGCGCGCCGTTCGCAGTCCTGATGGGCGCTATGGACAAACTCGATCATCTGGTGTTTTGGATATACCTTTATGTCGCCTGTCAACAGGGCAGCGCTCCTTTTCTGTCAGAGGAGCAAAACTCTGGAACTCCTTGAATGATAATATTAAGTCCTTAAAATGCCCCAGGAATTTTAGGCGTCATCTTGTAAATGTTTTATTAAGTTGATATATTTTTTGTAATTATAATATTATTGTATTTACATTCTTAATTAATTTATATAAATTTGTATTTTTTATTCTATTGAGCTGAAAAGCCCACTTAGGGAGCATCAATAATATGTATGTATGTATGGTAGGCCCCCTCTTTAACAAAATCCACCGTCCGCCCCTGCCCACATCAAGCTGATGACCACTCGCGGCCGGGGCACACAAGGTCGGCGCGAGTTCGAACTTCCATGTGGAACACGTTGTATAGGGACTTTGTGCCGAACTAGAGGAAAAGGAGCGGTGTAGTGTCGTAGTCTCCTGGTAACGGGTTTACGATGTAATATATGCGGACGTAGTAAAGTAAGAAATTAGCATAGTGATTGAGTGCGAAGGAGATAGATGGTTCGAAGGAGGAATATATGAATTAACAAAACCTAAGACTCTACAGATATATTAAAGTTCTAACATGAATCCGAGGCTTTATGGTAAAAATTGCAAATTTTTCAAGACTCCATTGTCTCGCAATTCCCAAAAGAGGCTTGAGCACAAGGAAAACTAAACCAAACATAGAAAAATGACCAGAAGGCCTCGGAGTCATGTTAGAATTTTAATATATTGAACGTGGGTTATTGTTCCCTTGTCCCTTATTTGAGGGGCAGGAATTGAATGTCTACCATTGTCTAGGGTAAAATGAAATATTCCACTTTTGTAATATGGACCAGATGGGGTTTCCCCGCGGTTGCTCAAAGAATGCCACTTGGAACTAGCTCCATCTTTGACGAGGCTCTTTAATTACTCCCTCTCTCGTGGCACACTACCTATTGACTGAAAGACGGCTAACGTATATGTGTAGTTCCAATTTTTAAGTCGGAGGAACAAACGGCAGTTGATAACTATCCCCCTGTTTCCTTAACTGGTGAGGTTGTCTCTCATATTGAGTGGCTCTATGGATGCAATTTTTCTAGACTTCGCAAAAGCCTTCGATAAAATCTCCCATCCACACCTGCCAATAAAACTTCAACATTATGGAATCAAGGGTCAATTATTGGAATGGATTTCAGATTTCTTGACTACAAGAAGATAAAGAGTAGTAATTGATGGCCATTCTTCCGGCTGGTCTGAGTTAACATCTGGCGTGCCTCAAGGAAGTATTTTGGGACCCTTGCTCTTTCTTGTTTATATTGATGACTTTCCTTTAGCAGTTAACTGTAACTGTGGACTCTTTGCTGACGACAGTATTCTTCATCGGAAAGTTGCTTCAAAGTCGGATTGTGAAGATCTTCAAACTGACCTTCATAGTGCCTATGACCGGTGTAACTCCTGGCTTGTTACTCTGAAGTCCGGAAAGTCCTTGCCTAGTCCCTGTGCGGCGTCTTGCCAGGCGCTCTCGGTCAATGCATTTCGGTGACGTATCCGAGACGAACGGCCGGGAGACGCCTAGACAATCTCGGAGTGCGCATGGATTCCATATTGAACATGTAATGCATTTTTGCGTTTTTGAAGAGTTCCCACGTTCAACTGAAATAATCTATAAATAACTTTGCGCGTGAATATCCTTCGCTTAAAGATCGGCACTAACCTGGTTTCTGTTATCAAAGAACAAAAATATTACTTTGAATCGGAAAGAATACAACTATATAACGTGCTAATAATTTCTCTTTTAGTTCATTTTCAAATAAACCATTAAAATGATATTTCTTTATTGATAAAAAGATTTGAAACAGTAGTTTGTTGACATTCTACCAAATTTAGAGACCAAATTCAACAGCCTGTCCGATTAGTTTGATAAGCTTCCAAATCCAAAAATTANATTTCTTTATTGATAAAAAGATTTGAAACAGTAGTTTGTTGACATTCTACCAAATTTAGAGACCAAATTCAACAGCCTGTCCGATTAGTTTGATAAGCTTCCAAATCCAAAAATTAAATTACATAAAATATTTCGAAGTGGAATGATAACGAGAAATTTATAGGAGCAAGCGAAAATAGAGAAACGAAAGATACCTTTTCATATTCAAGAATAAATATAAACATATTTCTTTAGCTTACCTTCCGATTCTTGATGTCTCACTTCTCCGAGTTTGTCTAGGCCTCAAAAACCTTCTCGGACCACGTGACCCGAAACGCATCGGCCGCGCATAACAATGAGGCCTAGGGACTAGGCAAGGAAAGTCCAAGGTCCTACACCTCAGTGGAGATCCAAGGATCCATATCATCATGAGTACTGGTTGTCTGACAAACTCTTATCAGCAGTAGGTCACCACAAGCACCTTGGTCTGGAATCCGTATTTAGTGAAGTACATCAAAAACTGTAACAAAGGCAGCTGAATGCAAGTTAATAAAATTCTTCTTACTCGCGATCGCCCAGGGCAATTTCCCTCTTTTTTTGGTACGCAGTTTTCAATGGAATCAAACCACTATGAGATGAAGCCGCGTTGCCAAAGCTTGTCATTTTCTTAAAAGATAAGCTAATTGTGTGGATAGCATGCTATTTCACTGTTTTCATGATGCTTAAAACTTCGTTTCAAAATATCTCGAAAACGCTCCCATAAAAATTTGTTCAAACTTTGCCATAATTGAGGCAATTATGGCAGGTACAAACTCCCTTAAGCGATTTCTTTAAAAAAAACCATATCTTTACTCATGGCGACGTAATTCATGCTCAAACTTGGGAGGTATCCCCCCAAAAAAATCCAATCGAGCCACCTTAAATTTTACTTCTTAATTTTTAGTATGTTTAATATTGGAGAATTTAGTTTCTCCCAATTATTCTCCAGTCATGAACTTAATTTTTGTATTTTCTATATTTATTTTCTTGTATTAGCATGACAAAGTATTATCAAACTTAACCTTGAACTTAAAATTTTAGGCGAAAACCGCCCGAGGGCTCTGTATTCGTAATGAATGATTGGTTCGGTTTAGTTATATCATGACGACAGATGAATACGAGTGTTGCTGCGCATAATTACGGAACCCATTTAGTGCCACCTAATTTTTCTCATCAAGTTTCTTTTACACAACGTCAGTTTTCTCTGGCACGACTTTTTTTTTCGGCACGACTCTTTTTTTTCGGCACGACTTTTTCTTTTTTCGGCACGACTCTCTTTTTTTGGCACGACTTTTCTTTACGGCACGACTTTTTTTTTTGCACGACTTTTTTTTACGGCACGACTTTTTTTTGGCACGATTTTTTTTTTTTCGGCACGACTTTTTTTTTGGCACGACTTTTTTTTTTTGGCACGACTTTTTTTTGGCACGACTTTTTTTTTTGGCACCAATTTTTTTTTTTTGGCTGATTGGAAGGGACCCCGTCTTAACTCCAGTGACAACACAACTTCTTATGCCCTCTTTTTCTTTCAAAAAAAAAACATATTAACACTGTTTCAGTTAACACTTATTCATTTTTCGCTATTCTTCTTGTTTTTCTGTTGTTTATTTGTTTTACCTTTTTTTTGTCTTTCAGTTTTTTTTTCTCTCCTTGTTTTTTTTTTTCCTCCTTTTTTTTTTTGCCTCTCTTTTTTTTTTTTCGTTTCTTTTTTTTTGCCACTTCTTTTTTTTTTTGCACTACTTTTTTTTCGGCACGACTCTTTTTTTTCGGCACGCCTTTTTTTTTCGGCACGACCAGGACAGGTGACCGCTGACCATTATTATTGTAGTGGCATGGAGCACATGGTCAACTCAACGGTGGTGCAGATTCTTGGCATGCACTAGATTACTACGGAGCCCAGTTTAATAGTGCCACCTAATTTTTCTCTCAAACTGTGGTGACCTGGACATGGGTCGTACACGATTTTTTCGTTTCGCCAGTACTCTTTTTTTATTTGTTCAGAAAATTATGAACACTTAATATTGTACCTAGCTGTACCTAAAGATATGTCAAACTACACTTTCGCGAATTAGAATTCTGCGCTCCCGTTTTCCATCACGCACTCCCGGCTTATCTTACTGAGAATATAGAAAGAATTCAGAAAATAGCGCTTTCCATAATTTCACCTGCCATGTCATATCGGGAATGCCTTGACAGCCTAGGCCTGCCAACGCTATATGATAGACGCAACGGACTATGTAGACAATTGTTCGATTCCATTGCTATCAATCTCGGACATAAGTTATACCACCTGCAGCCACCAAGAAAACAATCCAGCTATAATTTAAGGCGTCAAAAGTTATATAATTTGCCACGTTCCCATACGGAACGTTTCAGACGCTCTTTTGTTTATGCTATGTCCCAGGGTTGCGCATAAAGCTCTTCGTTAAAGTTTCAAAGAAGTCGACTTTATTGTAAGATTTTTATACGTATTTTTAGCTTTACTACACAAGGTATTTATATTCATATGATTGTAATTAGTTTTATATTTTAACTAATGTTATTTGTAAAATACGCAATTCAGTTTTACGACTGCAAAGTATTTATACAATAAACGA